GGGAGCAGAGGGAGATACGAAAGAGAGATGTGAGAGATGAGGATACAGATTAGGGGGTCGGGTCAAAGTTCTCAACGTTGTGTAGGCCCCTCATCTTAGCATGTTTCTTCTAGGTCCCCAGAGTTGTTAGTTTTTTTTAGTGAAAAGAATGTTTGTTTGTAGAAATCAAAGCCTATTACATCTGGTAGATTCTTGTCTAGGCTTGATTTCTTGATCTTTTGAAATATGCAATGTATGAAATTCTAATATAATATGAGATGCATATTTTGTTCTAATGTATTGTTAAATATCTAAATAACATTTTATACATAATATGACACCACAATATAGAAATAATTTGTTTAACTTGAAATTTGTAATTGTTTAAGCATCACATAGAACTTTATTCTATATTTTTGTATCTCATATCATATTCTTATAAAAACTCACAATTTGTACACTTTAAACTTTACCAAGTTGAAAATTTGTTAGGTATTTTACCTTGAGAACTTGAAACATATAGTGGAGATGCATAAAAATCCGGGTGAGTTTTGATCCAATCTTTTTTTGGAGGGTTATTTACATTTACTCAATAAAGAATATTTGTATTCAGCTAATCTCCTTCAACAGTCTCATTATTTTTGTTTTGATCAACAACAATATTGTGATTGATTTTTTGACTTTGAATTATTTGCATGGAAAGTGTGTTATGAAGAGTTCTTGAGATATGATTTTAGGACATCTTTGACATTATTTGAGTCTGAACCTTATTCTTTGAATATTATTATCCCTAGAAGCCATGATTGAGGCTTTGAAGCAAAATTTTATTTTTTTATACCCAATTTATAGTAATCAAGCCAATGGAAAAAAATAATATCTTTTACCTTTGATTATCTCAAGATTAAGTTTTTATTGTTTATGTAATTTGGGAGATGTTGGTTGAGAAAAGATCAACAAAAAACAAATTTTGCATATTTGTGCATACCTGCATGAGTTGTCTTGCTAAATAAAAGAAAAAGAGAGAAAAACAGCAAGCATGATTTTAAAAAAAATATGAGCCAGTGTTGTGAATTGTGCTTCTAAAGGATGGAGAGTGAAAGATTATAGAAAGAAGTTTGGTTGTGTAATGTAATGTTTTCTCGGGATAATCTTTAAAATTCCTAAATATCTTTCGTCTAAAAATCCTAATCTCAAGGCCCCATTACAATCTTAAACAAAGTATAAATGATTTCAAGAGTATATTGGTGGATGCATGACTTGTGTGAATAAAGAAGAGAATGGTGATTATTTGTTTATTGTGTGTTGATTTTCTTTCATGAGACTATGTAAAATCCTTTTCTTTCAGATGACAATTATTTAAATAGACATGTGAGCATTATTTTATTTTGATTTAAATATCTTCTTCTCACATGTGATATTTGAGGAAATAGTCATTATAATCTAAGAGAATCTTTTATGAGCGAATTATCTAGTGAGATTTGACATTGAGACGAATAGGTGATAGTTGTAGAGATGATTACCAGATGAATTACTGACTTGATATAGTTAATTCACACTACACGTGATTTTATATGAGAACATGATAAGTACATACATTTATATATCGTAGAGTTCTATATTTTGCTTTGCATGTGCTTATTAAAAGGCTTATAGCTTAAAATTTTATATTGTGGATGCAATTTGTGTTATAAAATTATTATTCAGATATTTGATCACAGGGTGATGTTTGTAGGTATTATCTCTGAAAACCCTCACGAAACTATACTTGTCCACTAGAGGGAATCTAGAGGTTTCAAGGCTTATTGCATATGCTAAATACAATCGTGAATCTTATGAAAGTGGTTTTGTTTTATTTTTGCTAGTGGTTTTGTTTTGGTTTTGTTTACCTTAGTAGGGACTAGCAAGGTCTGAGTTGGGGGGAGTGTGATTATGGTTAAATAATGTGAATATTTGTTGGAAAAGATTAACTATTTAGTTGGAAAAAGTTGATAAATGGGTTAAGTTAGTTAAGAATTTATGCTATGATTCACAAAATATGAATTGTATTTATTTTGCAGAAAAATGGTTGAAATTGGATTAAGTAAAGCAGAAAGAGGAGTAAAGCTAAAGGGGAGTATACTGGAAGACACATCCGGACAGAGTAATGTATTGCGTCCGGACGCGAATGTCAGAAGGCAAGTGAAACATAGTGGAAAATGCGTCCGGACGGAAGGGAACAAGCGTCCGGACATGTGTCGACGGTCTGCAAATGCTAGTAGCAGAATTTTAATTTAACTGAATCTTCTCTTAAATATTCATATAAATAGAAGATGAAGTCTATGTAAAAAGGACTATTGGCTGTAGTCTTTTATTTTCTTTATTTTTATTCTTTGGTTTATTGTTATAATTTCTAGCTAAAAGGCCTTGCTAGGGCTAGGGGAACACTACTCAATGAAGTACGGTAATGTTATTGGTTTATGAGTTTAATGGTATGTGATATTTTGCTAATTCAACTTTTGATTTATAGTAAAGTTTTTACTCTGTAAAAATTCTTGAGTAATTGTGTTTTATACTTTGATTGCTTGAGTTTTCTTGCGACACAAATAACTAGTTATTTCATGCTTAAGTTAATTATAATTATTTCACATCATAATATAATTGAAGGATTACTTGGATAAGACATGAATTTGATTGTTAAAAGAGTTTAATTTATTGTAGATTCTGGGCACAATAAATGCTTATGATCTGCAATTAGTTCATTGATTTGTCTAAATAAACTTTTGATTATAAACAATTTTGTTTTCTCGTTCTTATTGCTAAACTTGGTGACTTGAGTCAATCCTCACTTGATTCTTGTTTAGGATTGAAAACTAAGTCTTTAATCATTATTGTATGGATTTGAGAGGGAGTACTTGATACTCTAGTATTTTTCATATTGTTTTAATCACTTTAATTAGTTTTACCAATTTAAATACTCTTTTCAAACAAAACATTTCCACAAACTTTATACAGAATTTTAGTGTGGTTTCTGACATTTTCACAATTCCCTGAGGGTTCAACCTCGATCTTCCGAGTTTATATTACTTCGCACAACTTGCGCTTGGGTTTATATATTTGTAGTTTGTAGCAGTATCCACCCAAAAGGTCATTTGTAAGTCAACGTTAATATCAATTTTTTATTTGTATAAAATTATCAAAATCTATGCTATACTCTGTAAACATTAATATTGGGTTATAAAACCTAAAACAAAAAATTAATGTAATAATTTCAAGTCCACTTGTTCTTTTCACTTATAATATGATGTAATAATTACAAATAAATTATAAATAATTTTGATTTAGTGTATCATTTATGTTGAGTCACATTTCTAGTCAAATATTACTTGACGAGCCCAGATTCAGACCAGGCTTGCGTCTGGTTCATGGATTGATCTCAAACTATCAAAAGGTAGACCAAACTTAGCTCGTGGCTTCAGTCCAGTCTAAAGATCAAAAGTCCAGGAAGAGTCAACACACGTGAGAGAACAATTATCGGGATAGTCATAACTCCAAGATAGTGTCTATTCTCAATTTTAGATATCCTCCCGATAAACTAGTACCTTGACCCCTTCATGTCACCACCTCAAATAAGACTCTGTATCTATAAATTGTTAACCCCTCACACAGAGAACAAAGATACCTCACCTTGAATGTACTCTTAGTCTCTCTCTCCTATTACCTTGTACTCTCTCATTAATAGAGTTCTTCGACTACCGTTGTCGCCTTTCGTGGTTAGGTCACCAACACCCAACCACTCAATTTTTATCACTTATTATTAATTGTTTTATACAACACTCAAGTGATTTAATCATACATAATCAACTTTGTGTATCATCATTACTAACTTTCTTTTTGATCATAAAACTCATTTTAGCAAATATCTTTGTTCATAAGTGGAGCACTGTCCATTTTATTAATATCTTCCATTTAGTTATTAAACGTCATCTAGTTTTTCGAACACACTAATCCAACAATCCTACACATAAAAAAAATTAAAATCAAAGGTCAGATATGAAGTGTTTAAAAACTTGAGGGGAGTATAAGGTATTTTTAAAATTTTGAGAGGGGTGATGCCCCCTCTAGGCCTCCATTTGGGTCCGCACTACCCACAAGTGAAAGGCAAGCTTAGTTCCTAGTTACTTACAACAAATAACCAGAGCGCGAACATGTGGTAGAGAGAGACATTTCAGAGCTCTTCCACCCGACTTGGTAGTGGCGGAATCAGGGACGGAACCAGGTATAAGTGGCGGCAATACTAGCCGACCAAGAAGATTGTATATTCCTATCTTTAACTACAGACATGCACATATCCACTAGTGCGCACGCGCCAAAAAAAAAACATATACACGACATACTTGAACAACCAACAATGGCAAACAAATTATCTTCCCCAAATCATAATCAGAATCAATTAGCAACAGTTACAAATCTCATATACATTCTACTCTGATTAACTACTGTGGATAGAAAGCTCATCAAACTAATTTTGATCTTAGGTAGTCCATAAAGCTGATATTGATCATTCAATCTGTGTAAAGTTTGTAGGATGTAAACTTCTGAGCCGCTCCATCCAAGCAAGAGCTACACTTTATTTAGGACTTCAAAGTAATGATTTTTAAATCAACTGCTTTTTCCTTTTTAGACTAAATCCATTTCAAGTGAAACATACAAGGTGGTGTGCTGATAACAATAAAAACTTAATATATGACAACAATTTACTGAAATTTAGAGGGGCAATTGTCCCCATTCGACCCTCCATCACTCTTATGTATCCAGACCAAAGGAGAAGATACCAACCAATTGAAAAAATTGCGGGAAAATACGTAAGACTATTGGTTCATTAACTTGTTCAATATATATACATAGTGTTGTCAGGAAGGCAATAATCCCCGACAAAAGAAACAAATTTATATCCAGTTTACACAAAACATCTAGTTACAATTTTATGTTTCCTTTTTAGTTTAAAAGAATAACAAAGCTCAACTTGTTCTGAAGTGCAAATACTACTGAAACCTTACAACTATGCAGGAAATGTCATCCCTGCTTTTCCTCAAAACAGCCTCCTCTGTCAAACGCTTTGCTGCTGACTGAGCATCCTTTGCGTTTCTAATGGAATCCACTGCCTCTTGATTTGACATCACCTACAAAGAGATTAAGAAAGTGCCAAGAATTACAGCCACAACCAAGATAAAGGAATGTAACATTGACAAAAGACAAGATGACACCAGGTTGAATTGGAGGTTCCATTATTTCATTGTGCTTTTTTTTTTTCACATTGACCTAGGTACAAGAATAGACTTCTATGTCTATGACAAAAGTCCAAGTGAAACACAAAAGTAGCTGAGCACAACCGACCTTCCATAGACCATCACTTGCCAAGATGATAAACTCAACATCATCGTTTACCATCTCCATTATCACATCTGGTTCTGAACTGAGATGTCGCTTCAAGCTCTTGTCGCCAAATGCCCTCGCCACTGCCAGCTGCCCATCAACTCGAGGAACGTCACCTGTGGGTATCACAAACTATCAATTACAAGACGTTCCTGAAATAACAACTAGGACCAGTTCAGTTTTAGTTAGTCCCTGATTTTCTTTGACTTAAAGGCTTGGGAGCCCAACTATTTGGACAACTACTGCATCTCAGGTACCGATCACATAAATTGTACTCAGTAAACATATAGGATTACTGTCAAGAGAGAGAGAGGCAAAAAAACATCACCACAGCAAATGTATTTATGGTAAAAACTTAATAAATCCAACGTTTTCTCAAGCACGAATACTGACAGACTCTGCTGGCCAAATGTTGTGCTGCCTTGAGGTCCTTAAGAATTATAACTCACAGAAATTTTTAAAAAGAAAGATACATACGACAATTAGCATCACACAAGGCACAACTGAAGAGACTCGTTTAATGATAGACAGTTATCAAAAAAATTATAAGTAAAACCAACCCAAAAATCATTGTTGATATAGACAAACGCAATACTATGAAAAGTTCATGTTTGAGAATCTCGTATGATTGGTTACCTGGAAGGTTTGATACAAAGCCACCCTTGCTCTCAATCATATGTTTTTCTTTGCTCGGTTCATGATCAACTGATAGCTGTTTGGCCACACCCTTCTTGCATATAACAGCCCGAGAATCTCCCACATTTGCAACTACAAGCTTTTGGCCATTGATCAGTATTGCCGTAACTGCAGTGGAGCCTCCTTTCCCCAAGTGAAATGATTGCTCCAATATATCCTTATCAGTTTTTTGATAAGCCCTTCGGATTGCACTCTCTGTATCGAGCCAAAAGTCATGCTGCTTACAGAAAGAATTGATCCATGGTCGTGAGAAACAATAAAAGGAAAAGTTCCACTCGCGCGCGCACCATAGGCACAGACACACACACACACACTCAGAATAACAAAAGGAAGATCCCGGAAAAGTAAAGCAGAAAAAGGAAAAAGATAAGAGAAGTTAAAGACTACTGATAAAACTAAAGAAACAGAGGATAATAACAGGCATTCCCAAAGACAAGACAGAAAGGTATCCTTTACCTCCTTTAGAATGTTCTCAAATAGATGCAATTTCAAGTAGTTTGCCACATCATGACCCATATGCCCATCAAAAATTGCAAATAATCCCAAATCATTGTCGTCTACATGTTTGAATTCGGAAACTAAACAATCTTCCATCGCATGATTTGATTTCCCTTTTACTAGGTCATAGCCTTGCATGATACGCTTTACCATTCTGCTTGTGCCCTTTCCTGAGTCTGGTGTAAGTGGAGTGGAAAAGCAAGCCTTTTCCTGGAAAGAATATATACCCATGCTTCCATAAAATATCAGAGCATTCAAATCATTTTTTTAAAAAAACACCTAAGATATTCAGCAGAAAAACAAGAAGAATTCCAGCAACAATTAGCTAATAAGGCGTTGATTAGTGGAATAATGGTTACGTAAAGGAATAAAACGACTATCTTCTGTTGCACACACAAAAATAAAGGCCACGTTATAATTTATAACATAACAACAGCATCCTCATTAAATAACTGATACAAACCACATGTGGTAGGAGAATTCTAACCGGTACTCTTAGAAAACAACAGTGGTACAAGTCTTACACCTAACAACTCAAGATTAAACTCATCATAAAGTATTGGTAGGAAATTCTACTTCCAGTTCATAGCAGCAATGTGTTCTGCCAGTAATATACCTATATAAGTTTCATGGTACGTGATGCATATAGTAATTTGCCAAATATACTACTGCAGGTTTTATTTCAAGGAAATGCACACTAGATTGTGAATTCTAACAATTTGAAACAAAAAAAATGTTTTACATTCAGCCATTGCCAGTAACTTCCTGACAATTGAATCATCTACCAGCTACTAGCACATATGCCAAGTGTATAAGTATACAATGAACAGATATTTGTCACCAGGAGTTTCAAAGAAACCATGAATCTGGAAAAAAAAAAACTAAAATCAGAGGTGATCTTGCAGATATAGCTGAAGACAGCACACAGTTGCTGACAAATGCTTGTTATTTTTCATCACAATCATGAACCATATGCAGGTATACAAATCTGCTCAAGAATGCAGAAGGAAACCAGAAAGAAAGGCAGAGATATTTTACCAAAAAAATGGAGTCACCTCATATAATGTTTCAACATTCTGATGTACCCGTTTAGCCATTATTTGGACAGTAGTCTCCACATTTCGTGCATAAAGCAATATTTATCAATCAAACTAGATGGCCTGATGAGCATTGGTGACCCTATAATCCTTCTATATAGTGATACAAGAGAGAGAAATTTATACACACCAGCTGTTTTCACAAGAATTGATGCCAAGTGCACAGGCAAAAGAAGAAACAGCTTTATAGTGGTATTAGAATGGGAATAGAAAATATGATTAGACTGGATTTTGGGTTTTATAGGATGGAGGTATAATGCGACAATGGATACAGAAGGGTTGAGACAGGAGGCGAAAACAAGCCAACTGGGAGAGAGAGAGAGAGCGCAGGCAAAGCCAAGAAGAAAGCCTGATTCCAGGTGTAGATAATAAGTAGAATTTACTTTGAATAAAACAGAAAATTCAACTAGTTTTCATCTTACAAAGACCAAAATTATCTATATATATACATGTAAGTTGAGGAAACTGAATTAGCAAAAATTGCCTTCTGCAATGTCCATCCCAATTATGCCTTTAGTATCCTTTTGAGGAAATTTTCCCACCAGTATGCCGCTGTACTCAATTAAATTCCTGACAAGTACTCTCGTTCTTCCATTCATAACTTAGTGTCTCAGCACTAGAGGCATCAAATTGAACAGATTCAATGATAAAAGCAAAGAAATATTCAGTAATGCATATCTTGTCACAAGAGTTAAGGTTATACAGAAACTTAATTCCGTATCTTGTAAGATACAAATGGTTGTTTTGTACAGAAGCAATGGGGTAAACATATAATGTGATTGTATGAAATGGTTAAAGCTTTGTACATCATAAATTTGAATTTCTTCTCAAAATCTTATGCTTTCCCTACCAAATAAATATGAATGATTAAATAATCCATCACTAGAATTTCAAAAAGCAGCCAAAATCTCGCATTTTCCAGATGGTCACTACTCCAAAGGTTTTTCAATAATCTAGTTTGAGAAGTTAAATTAGCTTTGGGCATCCAAAGGCACCAAAAATTCTAATTCCCCTTTTATTGCCCAGATATTTTTGAAGAATCTCTAAACCAAACAAAGTCCTTTCAAATGGACAAATACCAGCTTCTAAACTTCATGAACATGAATCTGCCTGTGTATTCTTGTGCATAGCCTATAACAAACCCGGAGAAAGGAGGAGAGTTGCGTTAATCAGCTGATCAGCGTAAAACCGGAGTTACCAACTCACGATCTGGGTACATTGATCCCAAACAGAATGTTTGTGCCATCTAGATCACCAAAATCTACGATCCCCGTAAAACAAATATAAGATACATATTAATGAACTACGTGTATATAGATTTATAATTATATATTATTTTAGAAAATAAAAATCTGAGTACAAATGTAGGATAAATGGTAACTAATTTAATTTTATGGATGTTCTATAATATATAATGTTATATAGTGATAAAAACGATTTAGATAAGAGTTCCAAAATGAATTGTGATCCAAAATAACTTGCCACCTAAGCCTACCCCATCGTAGCATGCCTAAAAAAGTGTAATACTGCATATTCGTATCATACCAAAACAACGCACGATCCAGATAACATTGCCTAAAATTCATGAGGCCCAAGATGAACACGAGTCTAAAGAATATTCATGACTTCTAAAGATAAAAATTTCATACATCCAATATAGCCATACACGTGGTTCCGTCCATCACTGCGTTAATCACATCGCTACAAACTGCAGAAGGAATTCATCCAACTTTGAATATCTGTATTTGGGAGCATAAAATTTCTGACTTGGAATTACAATTTAAGACCATCGTTAGTTCAAGCATTCAGAATCACAACTCAACCCAACTCCACAAAGCCTTATCCCAACATTTTTGGATCCACTACATGAATCTCACTTTATCATAATCCTTGTTTTCTGTTAAAACTTGCACACAAATAAATCAGATTTCACTCATACAATATCAAATAAAAAGAATCAATAATAGTAACTTAAATTCATATATTTATATACACGTATGTCGATGTATACCCATTTTACATGATCTCTGACAAATCAAAGCATAATCAAAACCAAGAAGTCAATAATTAACTCTGATTACAATCATAATAAAATATGAGAAAAACTTAAGCAAAGACCATGACTGCTCAAACACACCTTCATCTTGTGAAGTATCTCCCTTCCAGCCATGGCTTTCTTTTTCTTCAATTTCTCACAATATTCTTCTTCACGCAAACCAGCTCTGAAGAGAGAGAGAGGAGTGGATGATACAGATCTAGAGACCTATGGGTTTAAATTCAGACATGTGACTTTGCCGGTGACTTTGGAAGCCGCGTTTTTGTCCTTTTCCTCTTACTGTACCAAATCAACGCGTCTTCGCCGACGACCTTTCTTCTGATTCGCCTGCATCTCTGGGAATTTACTAAATTGCCCTTTATTTTCACAACAATTACATATGTTACTGTCCTTCCAAGCAGTTGACAGTTATTTTTTTTTTTTTTTGGGGTAAATCACAATGACATTTCCTTCTTATTGGCCTAATTACAACGACACTCTCTATAATTTTTAAAATATCACTATTATCTCCTATAAAATTATGTGAGTTAACAAATTAAACAGAGAAGCAATTTTTCTGAATTACCTTTCAAGGTTTTAACCCTATTCTTTACCCTTTAATCCCTTATAGTTTTTGAATTATCCTACACACACACCAATTTTTCTAATTTGCTAAATGTTAATTTGTTAAAATTAACTTTTAAAATATTAAATTTGATGAAATTAAATATTAATTTGATGTTAAATTAATGAAATTAGTGTTAGTGTGATGAAATTAAAATTTGATTTAACAAAATTAAATGTCAATTTGATGAAATTGAAGTTTAATTTGATAAAATTAAATATTAATTTGCTATTAAATTGATGAAATTAGTGTTAGTGTGATGAAATTAAAATTTGAATTAATGAAATTAAATTTCAATTGATAAAATTGGTAGTTCACTGTAATATATTCCACGACATCACTGATTCTGTTAGACGTTAGTAATGTCAATGACCGTAGAGTATTATGTGAAACTCGTGATAAACTATAAGGGTGCACAATAATATCTTAAAAATTATACGAGATGTCCCTGCAATTAGGTAAATCTTAAGGGCGTGTTAATAAAATTTATCTTCTTCACCAAAATTGGCCGGTGAAATAAACTTTTAATCCCTTTTTTATTTTAAATGGCAAATTGCATTTTATACCTTAAAATATTTAAGAATTTTTATTTAATACTCCTAAAAATTAAATTTTTCATATTCTATTATAAATATATATTAAAAGTGTTATAACGTGACTCTTCTTTTAGCTTCCGTTGGTCACTATGTCAACATCAAATGAGGTAATTTTGACGGAATAAATAATAAAAATTAACAGAAATGTTACATTGTAAAATTTTTAATATATTAAAGGTATAATATAAAAAATTTAATTTTTAAAGATATAAAATAAAAAATATTAAATATTTCGAAATACAAATTGCGATTTTTCCTACCAACATTTTAAGTTATTGTTTGGTGACAAGACAAGTATCATAATTGGGGCATGACCCATTTTAGACAGCCTAGATAAATAGTTGGTGTTTGGTGATGTGCAAGCCCTTGGATGTACTCAGCTTCCACATTAAACCAGCAATGATACTTAGGATAGGAAAGAATATTAAAAGGTTATCAGATTGCGATAGTTAGGTTAGGTCAATTTAACATCTTTGCCTTTGTTAGGATAATGTTATAACAATCCATACATATGTGTTGATGATACCTCAAAATAAATCTCAAGTGTCAGCTCAAGAGGTCAGATCAGCTCAAGAGGTCAGACTAGGCAAGCAAAATTCGAAAGAGTAGAGCTAGAGGTACCCTCAACATAAGCAATGACAATGACAACCAAAGCAACAGCTGGATAATCACGAGAGGTGCCTAAAGCGTTAGGAAGCTATAATCAATGCACTTAATCTCACTCAACCAAGATCTTCTCTTAAAAATTAGGGACAACCCCGCTAAGTAAGGGCAAGAATCTCGGTCAGGATCCCACTTAGCAGGGAATGGCCCTATAAATACAATGTAACACCTCCTAACAGGGAGAGGAGCCCTAGAAACAAAAAGGGGCCATTGTAACCTTGTAACAGAGATTATTAAAAGAAAAGGAGTAGGAGCCTCCATTTTCAGAGTGGACTAGCCAAGCTCCCGAGCTAGCGAACCACTATATTTCTACTGTGTTAATTCTCCAACTCCCCAATAATTCCCTCGAGTCTAATAGCTCATATCCAAATAATTTCAATATTATTTCTTTTATTTACTCGTCATCACAAAAATAGCTTCACATTGAAATACACCATTAGTTTGGCGCCATCTGTGGGAAAAATTGTTCTTGTTACAAATAAAGCTGATTTCTCAGTGACTGATGGTATCAACGTGAAACATGAGCTGAAGTTAGACCAACCCTCTACGGATGCAAGATCAACAGGAAGCTGCAAATAACAGACAACCTAAAAACGCGCAAGAAACAGATCCCCCCATGAGGGGGCCTTCTCATGAATAATGAGATGGAGGCCCTTCGTTTTATTAATGAACGTCTGATAAAACAGAACAAAGAACTCTTAAAGCTCCTACAACGCCCACAGGAGGCGCGACCGGCCTAAGGAGGCCAGAATAACCCACCACCAAGGGAGCAACTGCATCTTGACCCCCTTAGAGAAGTTAATGAGGTAGAAGAGAATAGCCAGACCTTGGGGCAAGAACCTGGCCAACCCCCAAGGAATGGTCACAATGAGAAAGTGCAAAGTCAGTATGAGGAAGGGGAGAGGAGCGACTTATTCCCTTATCAACAGGAGAGAAGAGAACACCACTAGGAGCAACGTTTCAAAGACATCCAGCAAGAGCTCAGCCAGATGAAGGAGATAGTAAAGAGCAAGGCCCTAGTCACTATGGATGCCTTGGTGCAGCAAACCGAGTCCCCATTCACTGTTGGGGTGCTGCACTTCCCTCTCCTACCTAAGTTCAGAATGTCGCAGGTGGATACTTTCGATGGGACAAAAGATCCCGTGGACCACCTCAACACCTACAAAAACCAAATGGAGTTGCATGGATATCAAGATCCAGTGAGATGCAGGGCCTTTGCTATCACCCTGAAGAGCTCAGCCTTAGCATGGTTCAACAGACTCCCCCCAGCCTTGATTTCCTCTTTTAAAGAGCTGTCAATCTCGTTTGTGTCCCACTTCATCGGAGCTTGGACCTATAGAAAATCGAGCTACCATTTATTAAATGTGAAACAGGGACCTGATGAGAACCTACGGTCTTATGTCTAACGGTTCAACTTAGAATCCTTGAAGGTGGATGTCCTAGATGAAAAATTTACTATTATAGCCTTCATAGCAAGTTTGGGAGTTCAGTCAAAAGATTTGATATTTTCCATCTCAAAGAACCCTCAGGCTAGTATGGCAGAGGTACTTGCCAAAGTAGAAAAGTACATAAATGGTAAGGAAGCAACGCCTACAGGAGGCACGACTGGCCTAAGGAGGCCAGAATAACCCACCACCAAGGGAGCAACTGCATCTCGACCCCCTCAGAGAAGTTAATGAGGTGGGAGAGAATAGTCAGACCTTGGGGCAAGAACCTCGCCAACCCCCTAGGAATGGTCACAATGAGGAAGTGCAAAGTAAGTATGAGGAAGGGGAGAGGAGCGACTTATTCCCTTATCAACAGGAGAGAAGAGAACACCACTAGGAGCAACGTTTCAAAGACATCCAGCAAGAGCTCAGCCAGATGAAGGAGGTAGTAAAGAGCAAGGCCCCAGTCACTATGGATGTCTTGGTGCAACAAACCGAGTCCTTATTCACTGTTGGGGTGCTGCACTTCCCTCTCCTACCTAAGTTCAGAATGTCGCAAGTGGATACTTTCGATGGGACAAAAGATCTCGTGGACCACCTCAACACCTACAAAAACCAAATGGAGTTGCATGGATATCAAGATCCAGTGAGATGCAGGGCATTTGCTATCACCCTGAAGAGCTCAGCCTTAGCATGGTTCAACAGACTCCCCCCAGCCTTGATTTCCTCTTTTAAAGAGCTGTCAATCTCGTTTGTGTCCCACTTCATCGGAGCTTGGACCTATAGAAAATCGAGCTACCATTTATTAAATGTGAAACAGGGACCTGATGAGAACCTACGGTCTTATGTCTAACGGTTCAACTTAGAATCCTTGAAGGTGGATGTCCTAGATGAAAAATTTACTATTACAGCCTTCATAGCAAGTTTGGGAGTTCAGTCAAAAGATTTGATATTTTCCATCTCAAAGAACCCTCAGGCTAGTATGGCAGAGGTACTTGCCAAAGTAGAAAAGTACATAAATGGTAAGGAAGCAACGCCTACAGGAGGCACGACTGGCCTAAGGAGGCCAGAATAACCCACCACCAAGGGAGCAACTGCATCTCGACCCCCTCAGAGAAGTTAATGAGGTGGGAGAGAATAGTCAGACCTTGGGGCAAGAACCTCGCCAACCCCCTAGGAATGGTCACAATGAGGAAGTGCAAAGTAAGTATGAGGAAGGGGAGAGGAGCGACTTATTCCCTTATCAACAGAAGAGAAGAGAACACCATTGGGAGCAACGTTTCAAAGACATCCAGCAAGAGCTCAGCCAGATGAAGGAGGCAGTAAAGAGCAAGGCCCCAGTCACTATGGATGCCTTGGGGCAGCAAACCAAGTCCTCATTCACTGTTGGGGTGCTGCACTTCCCTCTCCCACCTAAGTTCAGAATGCCGCAGGTGGATACTTTCAATGGGACAAAAGATCCCGTGGACCACCTCAACACCTACAAAAACCAAATGGAGTTGCATGGATATCAAGATCCAGTGAGATGCAGGGCATTTGCTATCACCCTAAAGAGCTCAGCCTTAGCATGGTTCAACAGACTCCCCCCAGCCTTGATTTCCTCTTTTAAAGAGCTGTCAATCTCGTTTGTGTCCCACTTCATCGGAGCTTGGACCTATAAGAAATCGAGCTACCATTTATTAAATGTGAAACAGGGACCTGATGAGAACCTACGGTCTTATGTCCAATGGTTCAACTTAGAATCCTTGAAGGTGGATGTCCTAGATGAAAAATTTACTATTACAGCCTTCATAGCAA